TCATAAAATTTTACATCCGGTGAATCTGCTCTGTCACGTAGCGCTTCTCCAAGAACTGAGGATGTTTTACTTCCTTCCTCCACGCCTTGTATCGTAGAATTTTGCACACCACCTGCTCAAATGTCATAACCAATTTCTAAGAAAATATTATGAAATAATTGGGGATAAAAGGGCTGATTAGCGGACTCTCGGGGAGTTCGTTCGAAGTGATTGCTCTACCAAAGTGCTCCTCCTCCTTGATTCAGCCTGTCCTCCCAACTCCATTCTGCAGGAAGAGAATTTACCAGGTACAGGATCTCAACATGAACAACGAGGTAAATTTAATGTAAACCTCTCTCTCTCGGCTTATTTTGACTAATATACAGTAGAGATAGGAACTATCCCCATACTAGGTATTCCATACGAGGTATTCCATGTTATTATATGGTATTATTCCTTTGTATTCAAGATATTGTAGTATTGTTAGTAATAATTAAATTGTTAATGTTGTATTTAATGACCTTCTTGTCTGGTGTTCGTTCTTTATGCGCAACCCGACACAGAATCTTACCACTCGGGTTCTGTTCAAAATCAAGCCATCCCGTGACAAGGTGAGCAGGTCTAACTGATCTGACGATTAGAGGGCCTGGACCCTCGTCCGTATTCTCACACTATTGAAAGCATCTCAGACTTCTCATTGATGGAATGCTCCTGTTGATGACAATTCCACTCCTCACACTGCCAAGATGCTGCATAAACTGTGAAACTCAGATAGAAACATCTTCACCATACAGTCCATATCTAATATCAAGTGACTTTCACATATTCTCAACAGTGAAGGAAGATCAATGTTTCAGAACAAATCAAGGTATGAAAGATCTATGTTGTATGATAATACTTCTGTAGGCAGGGCACAACTTTCTACACTCAAGCACAGGCATCTACTACAACTTTTCCAATGAGACAAAGGAATATACTCCCACTACCATAATTATTGTTTGAATCAGACTGAGCTTATATCAAGTAATTTACCATACTACTGAGTGAACAGAGAATAAAATTTTCCAACACTCCTAAGAAAATTAATAATAAAGTTCCAACTTCCAAATCCTTTCACACATGGTCACTAAGGCTTGATCCAGTAAGGACAATTGACTTATTTGTCCCAGTGAACACTTGTGTACATGTACATAACATTTCCAAATCCTAATTAAATACTGAGAAAAATGTCTCAATGTTATAGGCAATTATGTAGAGAAGCAAAGAATAATTAGTGTAAATTTCAAACATTTGCATATTTTAGTTATAATAAAAATGGAACACTTAATACAAAGGTAGTACAAATTTTGTATTATAAGTGTAGTTTAACTTGCATTTTTCAGAATATTCTAATTCTGATAATAATATCTAATTTAAAACACAGTAAAAACTGCTTATTGTTAATTTGAAATACTAATTATTTCTTCCTCTTAATTAATGATAGAATCATTTGAATTTCCTTTTTTCACTCTACTAATATGTTGTTCATTAGAAATTACCCATATGCATCTATGCCTGATAGAATTTATGCTACAACTTTTTAGTTGTAACAAAGTATTTTTTGAAAGAAAAACTTTGAGAACTATTTTAAAAAGATACCATAAATTCATTTCATTCTTGGACTGTTTTTCTTGGTTCCACAAATTGACAAAGCATCCCAGAAGACAGAGGCCTTGACTTTTTCAGTGGATTTCTCAAGTTTAAACTTCTTTTTATTGGAGAAAAGGGGGTATCTCCATTCATTGATGTGCATTTGTATTCTGGAATGAAATGATGAATTCAGCTGTTCTGAGTCTATGCACTTTCATTCATTTTTCACTGTTTCAAAAACCTAGGTCATCCTATACACATGAGCAAAGGATTCTTTGCGTTTTTGCAATAATTTCTATAAACCATATATAGTTCATGCTGCCATTATAGGTCTACAGTCTATTAGTCTATTTATCATAAGTTGTCATCTACTGTAAACAAATTAAGACACATCCCTCTTTGTTTATTGGTTTAATCCTATGTCCATCAATTAAAAACTGCATTGCATCTCATTCATCCGCAGAAAATGCTTATTATTTATAAAATCATTAATGAAATACAGGTCACTTAGCAATGATTATAAATGTACTTATTTCATATAAGTTAAATGGTTATTTTTAATGAATTATTCTGAATCATTAAAAATAAACTTTTTCTAGTCATAATATGCATTATAATGTTATTCATCACATATTATGGCAAATATAGTTTTTTTCTTTAATACATGCTTTTGACACTTTATTTGTGGTTAAATGAAATAAAATTAGAATTGTATTAATAAATCTAATTTTCTTTATTTTGATCTCTAAAGTCACACCTCGTCCTATAAGCGGAATTGTATTATATGCAAGTAAATACGGTAAGTTTTGTGATATCTTGGTCCTTCTAAAAGGTAAAATTTAGATATTTACATCTTTAAACTATAAAGATAACTTATGAAAATTGTTCTCAAACTTCTTTACAAAATATTTTGTTACAGTTTATTATTTACAGGATAAATACCATCAGAAACAAGTAGCGTTAGCCCACTATTAGAGGGCACTGCATTAGCCTACTAACCTTGCTTCAAACATTTGCACTAGTGGAAATTTGAATCCAAATAACTCAAATTTTCATCAGTGAGTTGGTTGAATAAAATATATTATAATGGGCTCTCCTCTACATGAATCCATGTAGAAGAGAGCCCATGACTCATGAGTCCATTAGGCAAGCCCATAGTCATGGGTATATGAAGACAAATGTACCCATGACTAAAAAAAAAAACTTAACTGCCTTCAGGATAGTAAAGTCAAAAATGAAAAGAAAAAACAGTAAAATATTTAATTCTGATGATAACCAGTATAGATTTATCAAATTACCTCAAAAAATGCTAATGACAATGGCTGGCAAAAGTACACTTGTGAGTTATTCCGAGCAGTAAAAGTATTTTCCCCTTTTCTTATTTCATTTTCTAATTTTTCATGGCTGCCTTTTAATAGATAACAAACTAGCCACTGATAGGCAGATAATATTACTATAAAGAAAAAAAAAACAGAATTCAATAAAATATATTTTAATCATTTAAATAGTAAAAAACTAAATTTCTATAACTTACTTTTCATATCTCTAATATCTTCTACTGAAGTAACAGATAATGTCTTACTTAGTATATCATCCATATTATTCAAAAAAGTAACACTTTGAGGAGTGATAACATAGCCTCTTTCTGAAACACCAAATTTAATAATTTCCTTGTTATTTTTTAATAATGAATTATTTCAAAAATTGATATCTTGAATATTTATTTAATAAAATTCTTCTAATTTAATGTCATAAGATTATTTTACTGCATTTAAGCTAGAATTTAATTATAATAAATTATAATTCCAAAAAACCTTCATAACTCCAGTGATACTTGTTTATACATCAGCGAACATTTTCGACCCCATCCGGGTCTTCATCAAGCTATGTTTATGAGGAATTCGAATGCGTATGGAACAGAACATTAAAACGAGCTTAAAGCAATTCAAAATTTCAAAAAAAAAACTTAAGAATAAACATGGAACGTTGCGCACGTGCAACCACTCGTTTGTGAAACGGCGAACACAACCGAAAATAGGAAATTCAACAAATCAGTTATGGGGGTGGTTTCCCTCATAACAAAACTTCCACGCGCCCGATATCCCGACTGCATCCCTGGAATTAATGCACGTGCCGCGTAATCCTGCTTTATATATTTCAAGAGTCTCCATGGCTCTCAGTTGATCCGTACGATGAGAGATCCTGATCATATGGGCACTTTGTAAGTCAGCCGTGATTCCCGGTTCCATGGCAAACGTTGATAGGGCGGTGGTGTGTTTTTTATTGTCAATATCATATTTATGCTCCCGAAGCCGTTTGTGAAGGGAACGTTTGGTTTTTTTGGAATTATATTTTCCTCTGGTGTTTAAGAAGAGGTTCGTTTCTTATATAATAAATTATTTAATAATTTTTAATTAATTCTTGTCATACATAGAAAAGTCAAATTGAAGACAAATGTTAATCCAAAAGACTTGGATACTTGATTTAAAGCATGTAAGTTCAGACTTATTACTTTTTGTACACAACAAATGGACATAAAATCTCTCTAAAACAAACTTTAACAATAATAAATTAAATTAAAACTCTAATCAATTATTTTGTGGTTTAGTAATTCACACAGTTCAGTACATTTTTAGTCTGCCATGATCAGTGCACAAATTGATCAGAATGACACCATTAGTATCACATATCTTAAACAAGTATTTTGTTTATTAGGAATAATAGCTTTAGGCCTCAAACTAACAAAAATTTTATTCAAAGAATATTGTTCTAACATTTTGAAAGTATAAATCTGATTTAATACAGTTTGAAATGATTCATAGATAATGCCAAATGACCTGCTGGATTATTCATCTGACTACTTTAAGGCTAATTTAATAATTAGATATAAACCAATTTAGCTAGAGTTAGGCAGACCTAACTCTAGGAGTGATCTATATGGTTATCTAAATTAACTAACAGATCTGAAAGTGAAGATCAAACAGAAGGTAACATAACTGGCAATGTATCTGCATAATACCGTGTTTCCCCGAAAATAAGACAGTGTCTTATATTAATTTTTGCTCTGAAAAATGGGCTGGGTCTTATTTTCAGGGAATGTCTTATTTTTTTCCATGAAGAAGAATTCACATTTATTATTGAACAAAAAAATTCTCAAGTCGAACTTAGACGAGAGTGACATATATCAGGTGTGTTGAACTGTCGCGTTTTTATAGTGTCAACACCGGACTCGATGACCAATTAGTACTTACTGAACCGTAGCACTATGCAAATGTCATGTGGCGTGATTCCCAAGCCATAGTCTTATGCAAATCATTGCCGTGTGGCATAATTGTCTGCTGACCAATCAGTGGCTGTACTTTCAAAAAGCCAACGGCCACTTTCAACCATCTGTCGATGACCGTTACGACTAAAAAAGCTTCGTTAGGTCTTACTTTCAGGGGGAGGTCTTATATTTCGCTATTCAGCAAAATCTGTGCTAGGTCTTATTTTCTGCGGATGTCTTATTTTCGGGGAAACACGGTATGCAGGAATTGTAGGTTCAAATTCTGCTCTGGGCTGATCTTTTCAGGCTGATCTAATAATCAGAAATAATTTAAACTTGGAATATTCTGAAATTTTCTTTAAGAATATTCCAAGTTTAAATTATTTCTGATTATTAAAATTTATTGATATCAGACTAACCATCCACCTCTAACCAAATTGGTTTATATCTAATTATTAAATTAGCCTTCATGTAGCCTGACATACATAGTCCAGTAGATCATTTGGCATTACAAATTGTATTTGGTTATTATATGTTATATTATTATATATATTATACAAGTCGACCCCCCCATAACACTGTTGATAATTCCGTTTTACATGAATTCCGTGTTGTATGAGTCACTTAGATTTTACAAATACATGTGCCAGGCTGTGAACGGCTCGTATTTGTAAAATCTAAGTGACTTGTATAACATGGAATTGATGTAAAACGGAATTATCAACAATGTTATGGGGGGGTCAACTTATAATAATGTATGTATAATAACATGTATTTATGTAGGTACACACAAACAAACCACAATAATCTGAAAGATATTTTTCTTCAAATTCATCAAACTGTTACTTTTTTACAAGTCCCACTTCTCCAACAAGCATTTCTCATTTGATTTTATAAAACTTGATAAATAAAAGCTGCCCACTTTACACAGAGATTGGAAAAGGAAAATTAACATTAATGTATCTGTTCCCAGTTCTGCCATATCCCTACAGAACACATTATGGACTATGTGAATGTTACAAGCACCTAGTCATTCTCTCTGTCAAAATGATATTTATTCATGATCTTAGTGATAGCTTTGTTGGTAGTTGCTTATTAAAACAATTCTGTATGTTGTCTCCATGTGTGTGTACCAGTAATAATTGTTTTAAAATTCTGCAAGTTAAATATTCATTAAACTACAACAGTCTGATGATAGAATGACAAACATTAATCTTATATTTTCAAGAAGACAGAAAATAAAAAGTATGGTTGGACAAAGTGATTAGTTAAACATGTGGAAAAGTCACATTCCCAAAATTGTTATACAGTCGACCCCCCTATAACGTACGTTCCTATAACGACAATTCCTATAATGTAGCGAAAAAATTGTAGAAACTTTCGTATAAAGTACCTCCTATAACGTCGTTTCGCGACAAGATTAATAGAGTCTGGACCAATAGTGGATGAGCAGCCGAACTACTTACCTCCGACCCTGCGCCACGCTACGGAGCGGCTAAATTGAGTTTGCTATCGTCTGTTTAGTATTATATATAAATTATATATAAATTAGGTACTGTACATATAATTATATATTAATTATATATAAATTAGGTACTGTATATATAATTATATATTAACTTAATTTATTGTAACTTTATTATAATTATATATATGCTTTCTGCCGCCTGGCAACACGCTACGGAGATTTTAGGCTAGTAAGTTGAGTTTATTATCGTCTGTACAGTATGTAAATTAGGTACCGTAAGTCTAATACAGCACTAATTTTATACATTTCTTGTGAAAGAAACACTTCTTATTCAACGTCCATAAAAATTATTTATATTAATGATGTCTCCAAAGGTCAAGTTATTTTTATGCGAAAAATTCGTTATTAGAAATCGCAGCCGCCGTTTAATGTGCTGTTCCGCGATGAAAACCAGCTTTAATTAAGCAACGGCGTAGTCGAATGGTACACACTCAATAAGTAATCCTATAATTTTTTGTTTATAGCATAGTTTATACAGATTATTCCCAAAAAATTATACATATTTTGGAAATGTTGAGTCGAATTAGTCTAGAATCGGTTAATTTTATAGAAGAAAACCTTTTGAACAGCCTTAGTCCGTAAAGTTCCCACCTATCGGGCTGCGATTGGCTCATGTATTTAATCGTTCCTACAACGTAAAATGCGATTAGCGTGGAACGTATCTAAGCGTTATAGGGGGGGGTCTACTGTATTTAATTAACAATTTGAATGTACAGTATGAACATAAGAAACTCAAAAAAATTAATCCACATAGTAAGAAGTAGAGGGGGAAAAAACCATCATTGCCCACAGTCTCCCAGAATTTAATTAAATTTTTCAGCAATTAAAAAAAGTCAATGAACAAGAAACACTTTTTCATTCTGGATCTATTATTGGCCATTTTATCTGCACACTGATTACTACTTTAGGAAAAATGAAAAAATCTGTTATCATCTTACTGTAAAATTTTTGTTTTCCCAATTTCAAAAATGAAAATTGCATTCCTATAAACAAATACTGAGTATTTTACATTATTACATATGAACTCATATAAATGTTGTTCTAACATGTACTCAGTTCTTTTATTACAATTATCTGATAGAAAAATGGAATTCTTTTTAAAAAGCCAATTATGATTATCATATATTATCATTCAAAGCTGTTGTGATGTTTGGTGATTTGGTTTAAACATTCATTATTAAAAAGAAAAAAAATATGTAATCTTTAATTAATAGAAACTATTGCATTTTAATACTATATTTCTGAATTACTATTGTAAACTTAAGTTTTCATCAAAAGACAAATCATAATGAAAAATAATTGCTACCTGTTAATTTCCTTTTTAACAATCCAATTAAATAATTACTTGTCTGTTGAAGAAGAACATTATTGTCTCCTTCGTACGTACACTGAGCATCATTGTCATTCCGCAATGTTCCAAATCCAGATGCTGTAATTTCATTTTATTAAAATTAATTACCAAATTATTTAATAAATGTAAATTTCTATATAAAACAAATCTAAAAAAATAAAGGTAAGAAATTTCCCACCTTGCAAATAACCATGACCACCGCAGGCCTCTCTGCATTCTTGAATTGCACTCTGTGCCAACCAAGTGCACAATGGTTTTCCAGCACAACATAATGCATGTAATTCTGCACCTCTTTCAGCCTATACAGATTTGATAAATATTGTAATTAATATTACATTTTGATTATAATTAGCTTGAATATGCTTTTATATTTTTCATTTAATTTTCAACAGATTTAACTGTAACTAAATGGAACCTCTACAAAACAGAAAATAAATTTGAGAATGAAATTGACTTGTTATGTAAAATACTATTATGAACCAAAAACCTGTCTGACATGGAAACCAAATGCATAATGCCATAACATGAGGAAGTCAAATAATGGTAAACTTCTTGATGAAAGTTAATTAAAGTGCAATATCTTAATCTATCTAGAAAACAGTTGTGACAACACAATATTACCATTCCCAACTTTTCTACAAGAGTTTTTTTTAAAACAAATATAAGCCTCTAAATCAGAAAACTGCAGATTCTGAAATATTTGCCTGCTATATAATTTGTTTTGGCTTTAAAATTTATTAATCAAACCAAAACATGAGAAGGAACTCTACCAGGAACAGATCGAAATATCAACAAAATGTTAAGTTGTTAACACATACCATTTGTAAGTATCAAGAAGTGAATTGCCAGTTGAGAAGAACAAACAAACCTCACCCCAAATCTGTATTGGAACTTCTTTTACAAGGAACTTCTATCCAGTGGATAGAAGTTCCTTGAAATAGAAGTGCAAATAACATCAAGATATGGGGGACTTTGATCTATTGTTGGACAGAAAGACTCAATGATTCACTTCCAGACCTCTGGCCATTGTAATGACATAGAGCAGTGTTTCTCAACAGGGGCGATATCGCTCCCATGTGGGCATTTTTCCCATGTTGAGGGGATGATTAGTAACAATTTATATTTTGGGGGGCAAAAAACAATTTTTCTGGGCAATACAGTAAAATATTATAGTAATAATAATTAGATATTTTGTTTGTTATATCATACAATAATTAAACAAACAACATTATACTAGTCACTAGCCTATTCGATGCAGTACAAATTTGGCGTTAGCCTTGGCTCTCGGCATCAGAATTTTGAAGTGAAGGGGGCGATACTACATTGAAGGGGCAATACTGCATAACAGTTTTATTGAAGGGGGCAATGATTCATTACAGGTTGAGAAACACTGACATAGAGAGTTAACATATGTTAATTAAATCAGGTGTTCTCTCATGCATAACTGAGAAATTAATGTATTTCCTAAACATAGTAAGCAAACATATTTATTGATTTAAGCATGTTTTGGCCACTTTCCATCAGCAAACTTTCCTTTAAAGGAGGTGTCACAAATAATTCACCTAGGCCTGACTGCAGACCTCAGAAAATTTTAAAATATATACGATTTTGTTTGAAACTTAACACTAACTACAGCTAACTTAAATCTTAATATTTATATTTCATAAATTACTACAAAACATCAATTGTTAATGGAGATAAAAATATATTTGTGGATAGAACTTGAGTTAAAAATAGAAGATTTAATGGAAACTGATTTTTAAAAAATTATTAATGAATAAACTATTATGGCTTTTACCATTTCTTTCTAAACTATCAAACGATTCTTGATAGTTTGTAAAAAAATCTTTTGATCATGTAAGATTCTCTTTATTAAACATACAAAGAAACTTGTGTGTTAAATGAAGATCTCATTTGAATAATATTTGTAAATAATGAAGTAGTTTTAGTGGAATATATGATCAAATTATATATAAATTCAGAAGTTATAACTGTTATAAATACTACTGAAATTTTTTCAAAGGTTAGTTTTTCAACTATAATTTAATCAAATTAGAATATAATTGACTTGCATATAATGATATTTAATTAATAATTTAAAAATATTAGATTACAATAATTTACATAATTAAAATTATTTTTAAATGCAGATCAATCCAGATTAGAATATGTAATTCTAAATTTATTAAAAGATAAGAATTAGATGATTGAATTACTTAAACATGTTGCAAATACAACAGCCCCTTGTTATATTGCTCATGTAGGAAAACAAAAACAAACAAAAAACATAATCAAAAACATTTGATTTTTATAAAATGTTTTCCTTCTTTTTATACTGTTTCAAAAGAAAATTTTCTATTACAGTATTTTCAAAATTTTAACATTAGAAAATTGATTGCATGATTATACAATCTGAAAAACTAAGAGTTATTTCGGATTAAAAAAAAATCCAAAGTTTTTTGCTATTTCTTTTTCTCAATACCTGCCATCCATTCAAAATTAAAGCACAAAATGCAATAATTTCATTTGAATTGCAGCATAGGCTTTTACCAACATTTCAACAACTGCTTTCATGCTGACAATAGTTGGTGAAGGTATATATCCTCGTTATCATCGATGTATTCTTCATATCATACTTCTAAAATGTTATCATCAGAAATAGTTTCAACTGTTGTTAATCAGCATCAGTAAGAACCCATTCTTTAATCTCAATTTTTCATAAGATTCATGCCTAGTGATTTTGCTGGTTTCACTAGCTATACTGAATCATCATCTTGTATACCTAATTCAGCATCAACTATTTCTAATTGTAGGTTGAAATTTTTAAGTGATAAAAGTATTATTTCTGCCCATGCTTTTTCTGAGAATAATACATCTTTTAAGGTGACTTGAAACTTTGCTAATTGCACTGATTAATCTACAGAGACTAGATACAATTTTCAGTTCTCATTAGTTGTTCTTAAAAGTTTCAATAATTACCTGATTCAAGTGTCATTATCTAATAAAAAGACTCATTCAGGCTTGTTATTTTCTTTTATTCAGTGATAAAAGTTCCTTCTTTTTGGGGAAATTTGGCATTGATCAATCAAAAGCACAGCATTTGTTTTGTTAAACTTTTGTTTTGTAAATGCAGGTGCACTGACAGATAGAAATATAAAAAAAAATCATCTTTTGAACATGAATTAGTTCAAAAAATGCTTGGATGACCCACCATATATTATTATTACTGGCAACCTCTTTCAATTTATTTTTTTTAAACCTTGGGATTACGACTTTTTCCCACAATAAACAATTTTAATTTATGGCTTTCTGTTTTATTTTCTGCAAGAAGCAACATACACCTGTTCTTTCTGCTGTCTGTTCCAGTATTTGTCTTATTCTTCTTAAAATTTTGCATCTTATTAAAAATGCAAAATTAAGAAGTTGTTTCCAGTAATGAGCATATTTGTTAATATTATAAATTTGATCATCATCAAAACCTAGATCAGCCAATCAAATTTTCAATTTGTCAAGAAACAAGTCTATTGTGATCGACAGATCATTTTTCTCCATTAATATAATTTTGTCCTATTCCATGTCTCTTTTGTCACTGCTAAAACCAATTATTACTTGCTTCAATACTAGTTTCAATTTTTTCTGTAACATTTTTAGCCTTCTCTTTAATAATTAGTCCTGTAATTGGGTTCCAATTACACATTGTTCTTTAAGGCATAAAAGCAATTCCTTATCTAAGTTGTCATTTTTTTGCTATTCTAGCTGTTTTCCTCTCCTATCCTTAAAAAATTTTTTATGCAAAACATTGATGAAATTGAAATTTACCTTCATCTTTAATCAATTCACAAACAGTAAATGTTTAAACACCCACTCTTTTATTGCTACAGTAACTTGCTTTTTTTGAGGGTTGCACTTCATACAATCATAGTTTCAAAGTCAACAATTGTGAATAAAGTAATATTTCCTTGCCAGTAAAATTCATTGACAACCAATATTTTTTTAAATTATTAATAAAGCACTTTTAAACTTAGAACATCAAAAAAAAAAGCATGATATATCCAAATGAGCAATATAATACGAGGCTACTGTAATAAATTTTCTAAAAAGTAAATGTATGTTTTACCAGTTCATTTGATGTTTCTCCAAACCATATGGCCAGTTGGTAAGAAAAAAAATCTTTACAAAATTGAATATTCCCATAATACAGAACATACGTAGCAGCTAGATATGGTATCAGACGCCATTGCTGAAATTACATTAATATATATTAAAAGTGGCTTCTTTAAATTTTACTTACTTCTAAACTTATAATAATAATTAAATTTATTACATAGTTTAAACTATATTTTAATTTTATCATTTTTCTAAATTATAATATAATATTTAATTTATAAATAATTTTTTTGATAATTATGTAAATGAAAAATTTTTGTAATTTTATGTCATTCACCATGCCAAGCAATCCTTTTAAAGGCACGTTCATCCATTAAGGCATAAGAGTAGCCAACCATACAACTTGTACTGCATTGGTGCAGTATGTTAATTAATCAAATTAGAATTAAAAGAATATAAAATATTTGTAATAGCATTTCTCATATAATCAATAAATTGCTGATGACAACTTTTCCATGTAGTGCTATCTGGAATAGGAAAGGAAAGAATTATAGTGAAATCTGAAAGATATTACCTACAACTAGTAGACTGTAATTAATTTTTTTTAAATTATTCTTTGGCCCCAGAGAAAAATGTGATGCTACAAGAGATGAATTATTCAAGCATATTTTTGCTTATTAACCTGATACAAAAGTATAGAAAAGAAAAAACAAAATACTTATGAAAAATCTGTCAACTATTTCCAAAAGTTGTACTGTTATTGCTACCATTTTGATAGTAATTTTATGATCAAAATGAATGAATATAATGTATCTACATGTTTCAATTATTTGTATATTAAATACTTAAACTAAAAACTTTATTAAGATAGAAATCTTATTATAGCTTTAGTACCAAATGTAATGGATTGTTTTTTACTAAAATCCAAATAAGACTGATAATTACAAGCTTGCTATGCAGGAGATATTTACAGTTCATATGCAGAATATTTAACTAATAAAATAATACTGATGTTATCATCTGCAAAACTCTCTCTTATATTCATTTCTTCTTATTTAATTTCATTAAAACATTTTTTGTATACAAATAAACAAATAGTCACTCCTCCTTTAAATAACTGTTCATTCAAAAGAAATTATTTTCTAATCAAAGTAACAAAAAAGTTTAAATATTTTAAGAATTTAATTAATGTAAAATGAAATTTTGATTAGCTTTTGATAGATCTAATCCATGGAACTGTTTTACAGAAATATTCATGATGAATTGTAAAGAGAGAAGTGAAGATAGAAAGTTGCTATTTACAATGTAATTTATCCTCAAAACCATCTGGTCTATTTTAATTAGGTAAGAAAAAATAGGGTAAAAAGGGTCTCAGTAATGAGCAATTATTTATTGTGACATCATCACAATGCTGGGCTGCAATTTTTAATCATATTTTTATTTTTATTTAAATTATATACTCTCCACCTCAAATCAGTAGTCTTACCCCTGTACATCATGCTTTTTCTGCTAGCAATGAAGTCATGCCAGTCGTCTATCTTACTTTTTTCATTCAAATAATGTGGCTTCTGGTGCAAAATGGAAGTTTATATATAGTTAATCAATGTTTCCTGCTCCTAAGCTTTCCATAACTGGTCTCGACTTTCACCTAACTCCATTCTCGTGATTAAAAAAGGACAGTCAGACAACAGTGGGACTTTATAAATTACAATTTTTTCAAATTGCAGCTCAACAAACACATGTTCCAGTTACAATATTGAGAAACAAAAAAAATGTTGATTCCAAAAATCTTTTTTGACAATTTACTTAAGAATCTGCTTGTTTTGATCTGATGAGATAAAAGCCTCTTAAAAAATTGCTGCTAGACTTTCCCAGCATTCTTTATTCATTTCATCCCTAATAACTGCTACCCTTGCCTTTTAAGTCTTCAGACTGATTCAAGAGATACTAAGGGGGTGAGGGTCATATCTCCCAAACCAATGGTCTGATTTTACTGAAAATTTATAGAAACATTTCCCCTAATACACAAACTTCCTGCAAAATTTCAGACATTTTCAACAAAAGTGGCATAGGAATTATTAAGCTTTGAAGTGGATAAAAAATGCCCTCTATTACACTAACATCCATATATAGAGAAACCCCCTAATTTTTTTTTTGCATTTCTTGATGTTTCAAGGGCTGCGTCCAAAAATGTAAAAATCTTGGGGAATTGTTTTTAACTGATTACCATATATTTCCTCTGTTATATAATAGCCAGGAAAGTCAAGTATTTAATTAGAAAGAAAATAAAGTGACTTCTCAAATATATAGCAAGGTAATCTTATTTTTTAACATATATGGAGTCAAATGTTTTGAGAGATTGTTATGCTTACTAGGTAAAGGACGAGGATTGCAGTTAAACTAGACATGAGCAAAGAACAGCTTTTGTTTTTAAATACATTTGTAAGTAGACAAAATTCAGAATAAAATTTGATACAAACCTGTAATTGATATTCTAAAATTGGTATTTCTGAATTTTCTGTTGGTCCAAACTGACGTCTCACTGCCGAATATCGAATGGCTATTGGAAGGCATTTTTGTAAACTTGCTATAGACATCTTCATTATAGTTATTCGTCCAAGTGATAATGAAACTAAAGATGCACCGAATCTTTTACTAGGATCCTAATATTAGAAAAATTAAATAATATGGAATAAATGATTTTTATTTTAAGTTTTTGTTTTAAATTGTAACTCACTTTATATTTAGTTATATATTTTCCATCTGATGTAACATTACCCGTTCGACTAAGAAGACATTCATGAGGAATACGATAATTACAAAAAATTAAATATCTGAAATAAAATAAAATTTAATTAATATGTAGATAATAATGGAATAGTAAATTATATATGTATTTTTATAAAGTTTTAATAAATTTTTTAACAAAATTACTTAAATATAAAATGAATATTTTTCTTCACTAATATGGTTATTCCAATATATCAAAACAGTTTGTAAATTTGCAATTTATAAAAAATTTTTGTATATCAGAACAAATACAGTAGAGTCTCGAAAACTCAACCTAATGTGGACCGAAGGGTGACTGACTTTGTGAAAATGCCAGGTTATCGGGAATGGGGTTAAAAAAGGATAAGTATGCGTGTTTCCTCAGAAAATATTGTACTGTACTTGTATGTATTGTTTGCTTGAGAATACAACAGAGAATAAACTGCCCAAATACCCTTAAACAAAGGAAAGTACATCCTTTATGAAGGCATAGAGCCTTTACTACATGAAAATGAAAACTAATGAATACACAGTGTACAGTAATTTACCTGATAAGACAGACCTCAGAAAAATACTTTATAAAGCTGTCTATAATGAAAATTAATTAACTAAGGATTTTTTTGCCCTGCCAGGGTGTGGCCGAGTTATCCGGAGTGCCGGGTTATCGAGAGCCGAGTTTTCGAGGTTCTACTGTACCAAGAAATTAATATTTTTTTCAAAATCATTATCTTTAGCTGTTAATTAATTACCCATTATCCAATCCATTAAGGCCGAGTTTGGGACCCATGTCACCCAGAATTAAATTTGGAAATGGTTTCAATGTTTTTGGATCACGAACAGGCACCAGAAATGAGTGAAGGCCATGGCAGCTGCCATCAGGGGTATATAACTGGGCGAACACAACAGCATGAGTTGCTAGTGAACCGAGATTCCCCGCCCATGTTTTAACAGATTCTTTATTTGGTGTATTTAACACAAATTCCTATAAAAGAAAAGAAATAATATGTGATCATTCTAACAGAAAACACATTTAAAATTCATAAACTTACTTTCATTACCTGTGTTTCTTTATCAAAAGTTGCTGTTGTTTGTATTCCTCTAGTATTTGTACCATGACCAATCTCTGTAATAGCTAAGCATCCTACTGCCTAATTAAATAATCAAATAAATTTCATAAAATAAGAAAAACAATTATTTAAATTTTTAATTAGACAATTTTTAATTTGAAGTCTATATGACATTACAAGTGTTCCACTCCAGTATTAATAAGTGAGAGTAAAAGTATAGCTCCAAATTTCTTTTAGAGTCTTTTAAACAATTATTCAGTAGCTTATTACCTTGATAACTAACATTTTTAATCTGAAAAAGATCCAGCTGAAGGATCAAAAACATTAGTCATTATTAAGGTAATAAGCTACTGGATAATTGTTTAGAAGGCTCTACAAAGAAGGTTTGGAGCTATACAGTCAACCCCCCTATAAGATCATTGATTATTCCGTTTTATATGAATTCCATGTTGTACGAGTCACTTAGATTTTACAAATACGTGTACCGGGCTGTGAATGGCTCACGTATTTGTAAAATTTAAGTGACTCGTACAACATGGAATTCATATAAAACGGAATAATCAATGATCTTATAGGGGGGTCGACTGTACATTACAAGTGTTATTATTGTTAAATATTTTATATTAAAAACTTTTAAGTTTTTATTATTAAACTATAAAATCACAAAAAAAATTTAAAAACCTCACTCAAATACAAATATCAGTTCAATATTAACCTTGTTATGATATTCATAACAAAATTTACTAGTATAAACACTTCATCCATTTAAAACAAAATTCTAAGCACGTTATGAAACAAAATGAAGAACAGAATGTCCATTTTAACAGAAAAAACATTCATATTAGTAAATCTTGCTAATATTTAACTGGTATTGGTGTTCAAGTTTTTTATTAAATATAACCACTCTTCTATGAGGAACTGTAGTATATTTATGTTGTATCTTCTAAAAGTCATATTAGCATACTTGTGAGGAGTCACTGGCTATCAGTCATGTTTTCTCTGTATACAAGAAAAAATATTTTGATTAGTTTTAGCTGGATGTTACAGTAGCTGGTGATATCTCACAAGTATGCTAGCATGACTTATAGAGGATATAAACATAAATATAACCAATTTCTAGAGTGGAGACAAAATAATTTATTATGAAAAAAGTCTCTAAAAATTAAAATATCTGTAAAGCCAACAAAAAATTTTTACATTAAACTGGCCAAATCAGAATTATCCAAAAAGGTTATTTTATCAGAAATAAAATTAAAAGAATAATTTCAGACGATACAATAGCTTTGATTATTTTTTTCAAAAACGAGAAATTTTTGTTACGCATCGACAAAAATTCAATCCATGCTGACATGCAACGGAGAGAAATTTCGAAATTAGATAGGTTAATTTCATCAAAAATGCATGGTGGACAACCTCATAATCGTGGTCGATGAAGTTTGAATGATCGCACCCAAAAGCAGCAATAACAAAAAAGATTGGAGAATGAGAACGAGACCCATCTTGAGCGTCAAAGTGATTCCGCTTAATAGTGAGTCTCCAAGGCATAGTCTTGGCCCAAATACAGTTTTGCCGTTTTACTTGTTTTTTTAATAATAGAAATAGATGATTTTGACCATAGCACATTTCAATTTAAATGCTATTCATTTAGAAATTACAGTACTGTATATCAATATCTTCCAAACTGATTTCTCTATAATGTGAACAGACACTCATCACACTTTGCAACGTGGAGCACTACAAAATAATATTTTGTTTATGGGGTTCAATCAACCCATTTTTAAGACAGTTAGGTCTTAAAATCAGTAAACTAAACCTACCTGCATAAAGCCCATCTTATTTTTTATCATCAGTGTTTTTACTGAGAGTTCAGCTAAGGCCGCTTGATCACATTGCTACGAGCAACATGATAAAGCGGCCTTAGTCTGCATATTTAACACAAAGCATTGGTCAGTTGTGCGCTGCACAGCATCATGGAGCACCGTCGCATCTGTTCACTGGGTAAATCAATCATTATATATAATATGATATTGATATATTCTATATCTGATTTCATATGTTATAAACCAACATAAATGATTCTTGATTTGTCAATGTCCATAAGCAGCATAAAAGCTGCTTTTGAGGAGACACAGGTCATCTTCCAGGGTCAGTAATTCACTTTGTGTCTAAAATTGGACTTATTTTTTTTTAAGATCTTCAAAACATTCTCTTGTAAGTCTAAAATGTTTAAAATTAATTGGGGTAAAAAAGGTACTGTCTCTTCAACAAAGGTTTCCATCTTTCTTATGGATCTTTTTTTTTTTTTCATTTTTTTCACGATTATATCCATAATAAGATTATCCTTGTCCGATTCAGAACCAAGTAATTCTAACTGTAATGTAACATTTAAAATAGCAGCTTCGACAATATTATTGATGCTGGAAACTGCCATATTTCTTGTTAGCATTTGCATTTATATTTGAACTGGACAAGTAAGCATAAACACACATGTTAACAATGTCACTTCCTGTGTTCAGAAGTAGTACTGCTAGCTCAGAAGTAAACACACCCATAAACATCAACTTTATAATTATTTAAAGTGTGAATACATTTTTTTGGGACACCCTATATATATAATACACAACTCAAAGCCTGATGAGTTAATATAATAATTGAACAATTGCCTAAATATTCAAGCTATAATATGGCTATAAGCAAATACAGTAGAGCGTCGATTATCCGAATCAATTGGTGACTGGGGTTGTTCGGAAGATCGATGTTTCGGATAACCAATTATGTACGAAAAAAATATATTAATCTATCCCATCTTGACATTTTTCTCCGTTGTGTGTCGCTTTGCGTTGAATTTTCGTCAATGTTAAGCCTAATGAAGACTATTGTATCGTTAAAAATTATTTTTTATTTTGTACAAACAAAATAAATATATTGAAAAATATAAAAACAATAAAAAATTATACTTCAGAAGTTAATTTAGTATCAAAAACGTAAAATATTTGAGTAGCCCGAGACACAGCCGAAGATTGCAGCACCACAGCACTGGCGAAAATTTAAATTTGCTGACTGGAATTCTTTCGGATGATTGACTTTCGGATAATCAACGTTCTACTGTAATTATTCTGTATATTCTAACCCTCATTATTCATTTTAAAAAATTCTTATGAGTTTAGGTCATTCAATTCTGCACCAATTATGGCAATAAACTGGCAGTTAGTAGAGCAGAGTTTTCCAACCTATGTTGCCAAAGTTCCTCAGATGTGTCACAGAAATATCAAATATTTTTGAATTTTGAATAAGCTCTTTGTTAAAATTTCATTTCTCTTTCATCTTTTTACTCCCAGCTGACCAAAGAAAGTATTCAATAAAATGCCAATTGGTGCAAAATTTGTCCGTCAGCATATCCCCTCACAAAAGTTGCACGTGTCTGTGCATATGCCAAGCATACCAAATCTTTGGAACATCTATAAATATTGCAGCTTAAAGATCAATACTAACTCTTTACACATTGATTCAGTCTCTTCATTTTTATAGTATATTTGTAAAATTATGAGTTTTTGTCTTGGTAAGTTTAACTTCCATATTATCAGTATTTTTTAAATTACCTATAATTTATTTTAAATTTTAAACACTTTTATTTTAAAAATTATGGTGTGTTGCAGGAATCTTATTAAATTCAAAGTGTGTCACTAATCAAAAAAATTGGAAAACACTGGCATAGAGTAATCAGAAAGAAATCATCTAGGAAAGAATTAGTTACATAATTAAGAAATCAAATAAATTTGAAATGGGTGTTACAAATCAATAAACATGTAAATTAACAAATTTAATCAAATTTCAAATAATGTTAATTGTAACATTTCATTTCTCAACATTCCTGAAGAAATTTGCAATGAAACAAAGTTTTTAAAGCTAAAAATCATTGTTTTTACGGAGCCAATAGATGATGACATTTATAGAAAATTAACAAACAGGTGATTTTAATACTTGTTTAAAATTATCACAATTCTTATTTACTACTTACCTAAGAAATTAATGGAGACATGCTTACACCATTATTATTCAAAAGTTTTAGAGAAGCATTTTATGAAAAAACTGTATGGAAATCTAGTATAAAATATCTAATATTGCACAGGCACTTTGTTTTACTCATTCCACTTAATGGGAACTAAGACTTCCTTTTATTTATGAGGCATTATCAATCATGGGTTTGGCCACGTCCATGACAGGTAGACAGGTGGCAAGAAATGGACCTCAATATATTTGTATTGACCCTTCAAAAAGTTTGGGTCACCAGGATTCAAACCTGGATCATTGAAAGCAATAGCCGAATCCTTTACCACCTGGACCATCTGACTGTCAAAGCACTTTGTATAATTAATGTTAAATATAATAATGTACATCAAATAATTATTACATATTTGGTCACTATGTTATTGGAAAAATGCTATTGTTTATCATCAATAAAACAAATATGAAAANTCTTGGAAAAATAGAAGTCGTTTTGTTCTAATTCAATGTTTGATAACTTAATAAGTTTGTTTTTAATAAATATTAAAAACAAACTTATTAAGTTCATTTTTAATATTTATAATATTTAATAATATTTTGAAACATATCAACAAACGTTTGTTGATCAACAAACAATTTTGAAAAAATAAAATAAATTTTTTTCTATAGTTCTGGATAAAAAGGTAAAAAAAATTTGTAGCCATGAAGTTTAATAATTAAATAACATTAGAATGATGGTCCTGATCTACAGTAGTATCAACTTGTTGTAACCACTTTTAGACTCACCTACACTGATAACAATCAGCTGATTACATTAAGCAGGATAAATAAATAAATATGACTGCAACTGGTAGAAATTCCGATTTTATTCACTCTGATATTAAGAGAAACAAAAATAATTAAGAAATATATAACTCAAAGATTTATTAATTAATATGTAATTCACCCAATACTGTTTGCCTACTACATTTAATGAAATAATAACAGTATATAATTGAAGAGAGAAATGCCAACAATTTAGACCAGTGGTTCTCAAAGCGGGTGTTGCGGCACCTTAGGGTGCCTCAAGTATGCCA